TATTTTTAAAAAAATTAAAGTAGATTATTTTAATAAAATTTTGAGTAATTTTAATTTATAAAATTGTCCCAAAATGTCTCAAAATGTCCCAATGTAGATCGAAACTGTCCCAAACCCATCACTGCCCTAATGTTCTGTTCACAAACCAAATGCTACTGTATTCTAAAATTAGTTTGAATTTTAAATGCAAATATCTTACTAATATTGATGAAAATTTTTTTATTTTAATTCTATGAATTCATAAAATTAAAATAAAAAAATTCATTGATTTTAAATAGATAGTTATTGAGATATCATCACTCAAAGTTTGAAAAGAACTTAGCTGCAGTTTTTGTTAAACTTTGAGTGTGATGACTGCCTATCCAAAATCGATGAAAATTTTTTTATTTTATTTCTATGGATATATAAAATTAAAATAAAAAAATTCTGTTGATTTTTGATAAGTAGTTACTGAAATATCTTCGCTCAAATTTGAAAAAAATTATATGTCTGTATTGTAAGTATAGTAACCCCGTCATTACAAAGGTGGAAGCCGTGTATTGAAGTAAGTTAGCAAGGCTTTCCACTTCGTTCCAGCCAATTAGCATCTATTAAAAGAAATCTACTCAGTTATTCTGTAGCATTAGGCCACTCCAAGTTGATTCTATGTTTAACATAACCCTCCCTCTCTGTTTTTTAAAAAATTATATAAAAAATCAACACTATATTAACCAATCAAATTACAGTATTAGCTTTTTAAACTTTTATATTTTTTACAGCAATATTTTTTACAGCAATTTTTATATTTTTTATAGGCAATAAATTTACTGTATTTTTGGTGTTGTTTAATGCCCCCCTCCCCCCTCTTTTACGAAATACTTTTTTATGCTAAACAAAGAATCAATTTGGAGTGGCCTTAGCGTTAGGTTGAAATTTCCACTTGTCCATCCTTGTAATTACCCGTGGCAGTGTACATGACATGTGTTTTTTACTATATCTATTCTGAACTAATCATACACCACCTAATCAAGTTACTGGTTTTGTGAGGGTCATCAAGCTAAGCTATAGAAATATTATATCAATTGTGCAAAATAAAATGCAAACATATATTCGTTCGTGGTTGTGTTTGAGTTAATCTGCAGTTGCACAAATATCCCATTAGCATTCCTCATTTTAGTAGATTTTTAATAATAAATGAATGTCTATATAGATTTTTGATCATAAATAAAATTATGCTAACGATTAAATGCGAATGAAATAAATCAAAAGTATATAATATTTACAATGACAACTGTCTAAATGTTATTAAGACCAGTAAAAATAAATTTTACTGGATAAAATTTTCATTCGGTATCGCTCATGTTTTGTAGCAAAGCCACGGATAAATAAGCGTATTATAAACTACAGAATACGGAGTCCAGATTCGGATTATCATTCGGATACACAAAGTAGAATCCGAATTTAATCCGAATGGCTATTAAAAAATAGGATCGAGACACTAACAATGACCGTAAATTTGGCTAGGATCGACCAATCGGATAAATAAAATTTTTTTTTTTGAAATTATATCCAATGCAGGATAACTGTTACGGCGGCGAGGGGCTACATTTGTGGCCTTAGGTTCGAACCTGACTAGGCGCTAATGGAGGCCTTATTGGGTGTCTGAATAATTCCTTTGCCCTACCGGAGTCGGACTTGAACTTTCAGCTTTTTATTTTATGCTTCGTAGAACTCCCACAGCAAAAGGAGGCAGTGGGCAAAAAATTTTGATTTTGTAAACATTGTATTTCTAATACTTTAATTCTTGCTCACTGGTTCCCATATGGAAAGACCATCAGTCTATGTGGAAACAGAGACCTGTGAATTCAAATTGCGTATAAAGACCTCAGTAGACCACATATAACCCAAATACCACAGCATCATTATATTCATTATATTAATTATATTAATTATATTAAGACACTGCATTATTTATATTGGTGGAAAAGCCCAATTGTGTACGCAGTTAATATGAATCAGGTATTATTAGAGTGTATGTCGCGGCCCTCAATGATCACGAATGTGCAGATCAAGGTAGGGTCGTCAACGTCTCACTACAAAGGTAAGGGTTTATCGACTTTACCAGTGTTTTATCTTAAGCGAAAGTGAATAAGTAACTATTTTTCTTTATTCTTTTATCCCTTGATTCTCAATTGTAGAGAGTGGAATCGATTAATAATAATTAGATAATCGATCAAAATTTCGAACATCGAAATAAGCTTCATTTATTGAGTTTTTAATTCGATCAATCTTTGACATCAGTTCAGAGGTAATTTTTTATTGTAACAAGCGCAATCCTAACTATAAAGGAAAATGGTACCCTCCACATATTGATAATCCATCGCATGAGCACCTTGTAAAATTCCAAACCCTGATTTCTTTGAAGATTTGGCTCCTTCTAATTTTGAAAAGATCGTGAGTTAATTAATTTATTATTATCTTTAACATTCATAATTTTATATTTTGTCTCTAAAAAAAATGGATTCTTAATTAGGGCGCTATTGGTTTTGAACTCTGGACTATGCAAAGTAATATTTGTTTGATAACATCTATCTTGGCCATTCTGAGGAAGACGCACGAGAGTTTGCCGAAGAGACATGGGTGTAAAACATAAGATTGAAAAGGCAGCAGAAGCCGCAGAATTTCCAGAACCACAGAGTGAGGTATATATTATTGACTAAAAATATTCAAAAATTATTTTATCATTTAAATATTTATTAAACCGCATTATTCGTTTAGACACCTAGTACATTCGTCGAAACCATACAAAAACATTTCAACGAATTCCTTGAAATTTTCTACGAAGATCCTATGGAAGCTTTCAAAGAAAAACCAGAAGTCGCGGGTGGATTAGCAGGATTGGTCGTCATACTATTTTTACTCTCGGAGTATTGCTTAATTTATTATCTCCACCCAAAAAGGTAATAAGAATATAATTCAATAACAATAATAAATGCCCTTTTCTTATTTAAAAGGCTTCTGCATCACATAAAAAGACTGACGAACCAACTCCTGATGATGAAGATGCCGATAATAAAGGTGATGCGAGTACGTCAAAAGATGATGGTAGTGAAGGAACAAAAGCAACTAAACGATCAAAAACCCCAAAAGACACTTAAATAATTAATTAATAATTATTTCTATTTAAATTATATATATAAAATTTCTCTTTACGAATTTTTATCAATGATGTTCGGGAATTATTTAGAGAATAATTTTGACATGACGAATATTGTAGTTAATTATTATTATTAGTTTTTTTTTTTCTTTTTAAACAAAACTGACATTTGTTCTTATTTTAATTTCATTTGATGAATTGTATAATCAAAAAAAAAAAAGTAAAATTTTGCTTAATATATATCAATCTGTTGCTTAATATTAATTATGATAAACAATTCACTGATTATTAGAAATTTGCAAAATTTCTTTATTTTTATATTGCTTATAAAATAACAATTCCAAAGATTCCTTGTGCTAAGAAATAGGGGATTTACTAATTTTCCCCAAGTTCATATTGGACGCATAGAAATCTTATTTCTGATTGGATGTTGATTACGGCCATTAAAATAATAATCATTGCGTGATTCATTTTGTCCAATCTGAAATTAGGGCACCCGGCGATAATTCGATTAAAAAAATGATGACATAGAAATTAATGTAAACTAATTAAACGGTATTACTTCGCTTCCGTGATGCTGATTGGTTGAATATACGATGATCAATCATATGATGCAATTTACGCGTAGATTTACGCGTAGATTCGCGTATAAATATATGTTTGAACTGATTTCTTTGACGACACACCTTCTTAAACGTACAGTATTTTCCTTTTATTATTCATTTGAGTTTTGTCTTTAGTGAACATTATCGTTAATATTGCTGGTTTTTTTTTTCTCTTTACACCTAAAGCTCCACTAAACATTTTCTTGTTAAATATCTGATAAAGTAAGTACAGTATATCATTAATATTTTATTGTTTTGAAATTGAGTTTGAAAAATAAATTAAAAGCAATTCAAAATATATTTTTTAGGACTCCAACTGATGCCTGCCTGCAGAAATAAGGTAATGTATATTTGGCGGAGATCTTGGTCTAGGACGGATTAACCTAGATGAAGAATGGCATCGGGCTCATTTTCGGGTATTTAGTATCCATGATTTTTGTAAAACTGAGTTTTTTCTCCTGCACAAGTCTACTGATTCTAAAAGAAGGGTTAGATGTTCCTTGTTGCGGTAAAAAGTTTTG